TCATAATTTTTGGTATAGTAGTTGTGACTTATTCACACTATATTCATTTGGCTTCCGCAACACTAACATATTATTGGACGATGTTTACATAGCAAAAGTGGCAGATTTTGGAGCTTCAAGATTAGTACCTCTTGACCAAACACATGTTGCTACATTGGTTCAAGGAACATTAGGGTACTTAGATCCTGAATATTTTCGCACAGGTCAATTGACAGAGAAAAGTGACGTTTATAGTTTCGGAGTAGTTCTTGCAGAACTTTTGACAGGGATATTACCTATTTCGAGGGATAAAAGTAACCAGGACAAAAATTTGGCAGAGTATTTTGTTTTGTCCATGAACAAGAATAGCTTATTTCAAATTCTTGATCGCAGAGTAGTAAAAGAAGGAAATCTTGAGCAACTTCAGAAAATTGGTGAGCTTGTTAAGAGTTGCCTTCACTTGCATGGAGAGGACAGGCCAACTATGAAGGAAGTGGCAATGGAACTTGAGAGTTTAAGAAAGTTCACCAAAAATAACCCTTGGCCTACAGAAAATGGACATGAAAAGAGTGAAGATGAATTATCATATCTTTATGCAATTCCAATTGACTCTAACAGAGGTTTCGACAACTTCTCTGGACAATATCCCAACTCCTACACAAATAGCAGCATTTTTTCTGGACAATATAGTTCGGATAGTTCTTCTTTGCTATATAATACAAATATCTCTCGGTGATCCTGAACAGAAGGTTAATATGATGATTGATGAAGATTTTCTGCGTTTTTAAGTCCTTTTTGCGTGTATTTCTTTCATATATTGAATGTTCTGATGTAGTCTATTGGCTTTGGAATTTGTCATCAATTTCTCATTGTATTAGTGATAAGAGATGGGAGTTAGTAGATGTTCGCTCTAATTGTAAATAGTCCAGACATTTGTAAGAAAGTTTTCCTCATTGTATTAGTGATCAAGGCTTGGGCTAGACTGCTAGTGCTAGCAACTACATCTGATCTAGTCATTCACATATCCGCATGCTAGTTGATGGGTCTCATTTGGCCTAATATTTTACTTACATGCGCAGTATAATTTTTCGACCACCCTTACCATAGTATAGCTTCACCCATGTTTGACGGCATTACAGCCGAAAATTTTACTAATATACATCTAAATAATATGAAAAAGTTGTATGGATAATATAAATTGACACCACTTAGCTAATAGGGATTCCTAGTCCATTGGTCAAGCGCTTGCCTAACAGCAGATCAGGCGTGTGCTTCGAACCTTAGCACTGATACGTGGTTCTTGCAGAACTTTGGAGGCTCTTTTCTTATTTAAAAAAAAAAAAAAAAAAAAAAAAAAATTGTTGTGCATAATTGAACCCCTGACATCCTCTTGGACTGGATACGACTAAATCAATGGGCCAAAAGTCACTATACGTCTTTGAAATTTTTTGAGCCTTTATTGTTAAAAAAAGAAAAAAAGAAAAAAAAAGACGTTCTACAAACTTTAAGGGCATCATTTAATACATGTCAAGCTTTCAAAAATTATTTGAAGTTTAGTCAAATTTGACAAACTTTAGACTGCTCCTCCTCCTTCGTCGTTTTCAGAATGCTGAATCTGAAGTCTTGAATTGCCAAAGTCCAACTTCAGACCTGAAAATCTGAAGTTTGAACTACCAAAAGCAAACTTCAGACCTTAGTTAAGCTCCTACAATTCAATCTTAAGTCCTAAAAGCGGCTTTTGTGCAGTGGCCCCAATTTTAAATTAGTCTCAACAACATACCAACAAGCAGAGGAGATGAGATCAGCGCCAGAAGGAGAGGACGAAAAAACAAATATTTGTGGGAAATGAATCGAGATAAGTCTATCTCGATAATTTCTTTAGCTTAAACGACTCACGCATGCTTCTCATGAAACTCAGAGGCGGATCCGGGATTCGATAATTGTGGGTGCCACTATTTTTAATACAAATCTACTACTATCGAAGGAGATTAAATTAGGGTATACATTTTGTCTGTTAAACCCATATTGATTTAGTTCGGTTCGGTTCGATCTATTTTAAAATAATTCAATTTAATTTACCAGATTTTAGGTGCATATAAATACACTTATTTAATCTACATAGAGCTAGATTAATATTATATTTATCTATGTCATCACTTAAAAAAAAATTGTATAGTAAGGAAAATATAATATTGGATGAATAAAATAACAACAGCAATAATAAATTCAGTATAACCCCACAAGGGGAGGATTAGCGTGTACGCAACCTTACTCTTACCTTGTAAGGTTCTTTCCAATAGACCTTCAATTCAATATTTCAAAATAATGTTTTGCTCTAAAAAATAAATGAATACGTACACAAAACTATTAAAAAAAGAGAGTAGATTTTAGAAGAGAACAAATATAAAAGAAAAGAGTAGATAAAATACAAAAATGAGCAAAAAGTAAGTAGTTCAGAAGAAGCTCAACCGTGGCACCCACAATAAATTTGTGACTTTGGGGTGCCACTCTTTTCATATTTACAGTTTTTTGAGTTAAACATCAGTACATAAATAAAATTTTATCCGAGCGACCGGGTACCGTATCACTCCTAATCGCCACCGTATCACTCCTAATCGCCTACCCCTAAGCCAACTGCTAGAGATATAACTATCATCATGTGTTTTAAACATATCAGAGAGAAATGCTCAATTATGGTAAACACAGAGGGTTGAATCTGCTCAGCTATATGTTCAAATGATTATTTTAGACCAACGACCAGACATAAAGGGCTATTCTTGTCATTTACCGAATAAACTACTTCCTCTGTTCTGGTTTATGTGAATCTATTTTCGTTTTGGTCTGTTTCAAAAAGAATGAACCCTTTCTAAATTTGGAAAAAATTTAGTTTAAACTTACAATTCTACCATTGATGAGAAGCTTTTATAACCACACAAATACTCTGGGCCCCTTTTTGACTTGTGTAGGACCACAAATTCCAAAAATCTTCATTTTTTCTTAAACTCTGTACCTACTGAAATATGTTCACGTAAATTGGAACGTAAGGAGTATTTGCTACTTAATGCTACTATTAAGTATCAAACTGTCACCCATTACTTGTAGTCAACCTTCTATATTAATTTCTTCTAAATATCTAATTAAGTTTCTATGATCGAGCAACTTGAACAACCATGTCTATTTTTCTTTTCCTTATTTCTTGCTGTTAAATTCATGATAATCATCCTCGCGCAACCTGATTTACGGTACGTTTTTGGACTTTGGTATCTACGCTCAAAATAGTGCACTATAAACCAGAGCAATCTTCAATATTCTGTAATTTTTCTCGAGTACTCAAAAGACAAACATGATCCAGCTCGATGTAAATAGGTCTTAGCAAAAATTCACTTGGATCACTTACGATACTACTTTGTGCTAATATTTGCATGATATTGTGATGACCCAAAAGGTTATCATTTGTTTTAAAAGTAAATTCTGCGTTCCGAGGCCTTAAAAAAAACCTCTTTCAGCATCACCACGATTTGCGTGCGCAGTCCGGGCGCGTAGCCGAAAAGCCATTATCTGAAAATCTGTGAAAAATGATAAATTTTGACTATAAAATGAGTTAAGTTGACTTCGGTCAACATTTTGGGTAAATGGACTCAGACTCGTGATTTGACGGTCTCGGAGGGCCCGTAGGAAAATATGGGACTTGGGCGTATGCCCGGAATCGAATTCCGAGGTCCCAAGCCCGAGAAATAAATTTTTAAAGAAAATTATTTTCTGAAATTATTTATGAGATTTGGAAATGAAATGTGTTTAAAACTTGATGGTATCGGGCCGTATTTTGGTTCTGGCGCCCGGTACAAGTCTTATATGTGATTTAAGATAATTCGATGAAATTTGGTAAGAAACGGACTTGAAACAACGTGAATCGGATCGTTTTTGAAAAAATTGGAAACTTGAAGTTCTTAAGAAGATTTCATGATTTTGATGCTAAATTCATAGTTGTTGATGTTATTTTAGTGATTTGAATGCACAAGCGAGTTCGTATGATGTTTTTAGGTTGTTGTGCATGTTTTGTTTGGAGCCGCGAGGACTCAGGGTGAGTTTTGGATAGGTCATGGGGTGGATTTTGGATTTGGTGAATTTGCAGACTTTCAGCTGTTGCATCACAAGCCTGCAGGCTTCGCATTTGCGAAGCCTGGCTCGCAAATGCGGGAGGCATGTCGCAAATGTGAAAGAAGTCCAGGCCAGCCTACCTTGCAATTGCGAGGATTCTATCGCAAATGCGATACACCCCCTTTTAACTAGTCGTCGCAAATGCGACGCACCCTTCGCATTTCCCACCTCGCAAATGCGAGAACCCCTTCACAAATGCGAACATAGCAGAGGTCGAGGTTCGCAATTGCGAACCCTGATTGCAATTCCCATATTTGCAACCTGCAATTTTTATACTTAGCCAAAAATCTCTCATTTTTCACACTCTTTCAAAACTAAAACACTCTTGGGCGATTTTTCAAAGACAACTGTTCTTCCAAATCAATTGTAAGTCAATTTTAACTCGTTTTCTTCAATCATTAACATCTTTTTACATGATTTCAACTCAAAATCAATGATTTTCATGGGGAAAATTGGGTGTTTTGGGTAGAACCTAGGTTTTTCAAAAATTGGAAATTTGGACCTCGATTTGAGGTCCGATTTCAAAACAAATTATATATTTGGGTTCGTGGGGGAATGGGTGATCGGGTTTTTGACCAGGTAAGCCCGGGGGCGATTTTTGACTTTTTGGGTACAACTTTGGAAAACTCATTTTCATGCATTGAAGTTGATTCATTTAGCATTTATTGATATAATTAAGTGACTTGTGGCTAGATACGAGTAAATTGGTGGTGGAATCAAGAGGTAAAGCGATAGTTGAGACGTGAATTGTGTTCGTGGCATCGAGGTAAGTGTTTGGTCTAACCTTAGCTTGAGGTATTAGGAGTCGAGTCCTATTTGCTATGTGTTATTTGTCGAGTACGACGTATAGGCATGGTGACGAGTATCTATACGTTGGCGTCAAGTATGTCTGTGAGTTTTATCTTGTGATTATTATGGCTTCGTTGTATTATCCATGCTTTGATGATGATTTCTATTGTTGGGCAAAGTTTGTGAAAATAATTGTGACATTTGAACAATAAGAAGCGTTGGCTCGAGTTGTACAATGAAATGTAAAAGTATAAGTGAAAATTGAATCTTTTAGAGAATTGGTTTAAAGTTGTGAAGTGAGTTATGAAGTAAAAGTGAAAAAAAGAAGAGAATCACTATATTAATTCCTTTGTCGGGATATTGTTGTTTTTCATGTTACCTCCCTTGCCGGGATATTGTTGCTTTTGATGTTATCTCCCTTGCCGGGATGTTGATGTTTCTTTTGGTGTTGTTCCCTTGCCGGGACTTGATTGTTGAACTATTGTTTCCTTACCGGGATTCTTATTGTAGTTTCATTTATTCCGTTGCCCTATTGTTTGGGATTGTTGTTTGGGTGAGGAAGAGTGTTAAAGCACGAAGGGCGATGTCGTGCTGCACGATGTACCATTCCGTGCCTATTATATGAGAGTAAAAGCACGAATGGTGATACCGTGCAATTTATGTTGATTTTTATGGTGATGACGAGAGTAAAAGCACAAAAGGTGATGTCGTGCACTTGTCCTTGATTTTCCTAATTCTTGCTGATAATTGAGTTATGTTGTCCTTTACGTTTACTTACTGATTTGCTGT